GTGTCAGGCATTTTGAGTCTTATTATCAATAAATAATGTTTGGGATGGTGGCAAGTGTATTTTCAAATCTAGGGCCCTTAGCCCTCATAGCGGGCAGCACTTGTGTCAGACTTAACTGTAAATTGCTTTGCAGTTATTCCAAAGGTGAACTAGTACTTGAATATGAATATTCTGAACCAAGCCGGGATCTTACGCTTGCCCAGTAACTGGCTCATCTGGGTAGAAGGGAAGGTATTACACGTAGCAGAGGTACTTATTTATTGATACCAGTGGTACATGATCAACATAAAACCAGATCTCTTGGGATAGCTTCCTAATTGTTCAGGAACAGGACTCCATCAGCTGATCACATCACACACCTGGAGTCCGACGTATGAATTTCTGAAACCACAGGTATGATGTAGCTGCACAGAGTCCATACCTTGGTTGGAAGAAAGTGGACACCGTCAGAGCAGGGAGTGGGGTGGGGGGAGCAGGGAGTGGCTGGGGACTGGGGCTCACCAGGTGAGGATGTACTGCAGGTGCTCGTTTCTCAGAGTGACTCTGGTTTGCCCTCCGATAGGTCCCCCGGGGACTGTGCTCTCTGTTGAGAGAGCGGGCTCAGTGTCCTTACCATCCCTTGTACCACCAGCTTCTTGGCACTTAACTACCAGCTGTTTTCTTGCCGTCAAGTAGCCCCCCGGCGTTACCCTCTTAGCACCTGCCAAGCGGGGTCAAGCATCTCCCACTCAGCACGCACACTAGAATACACGGACACAAGTACTGGGAAATGCCCAGGGTATTTGCAGAGGCTACTTGACCGGGGTGGGCTGGTCAGCACGTACTGAAGTCTGCGTCGATGAAAATGGGCTCCGCGCCCGTGAGCCTGGCCATGGCTGCCAGGTCCCGGTAGTGCCAGTGGTTCCTCTCGGGGTCGTTCTCCGGGACGAAGGGCTTCCTGCTTTCCGTCAGCCTCACCATCCCAACCAGGTCCACTTCTCCCTCAACCTACAAAGGAAGGTGCCAGACCGCCCTTCAGGGCCCTGGGTGGAGGCTGGACGGCTCCCCCAGCGGCAGAGCGCCTTACCTGGCCTTTCTGCCGGGTATCAGGACTGACTTTCTTCCTGGGCACAAAGCCTCTGTTTACCAGGATGGTGATTCTAGAGTAAGGAAAGCAGTCACAGATAGGGGAGGGGGTTTGAATAAAAGTGACCACTAGTGGTCACTCTGGTACCTCCAGAGACAACAGTGCGAGGAAAGGGTTTAAAAGCTGGTTGAGCTGGCTGTGGGAGTGCCCCCAACCCATGAGCACCATCGGAAAGTTCTTCCTCTTCAGGCCGTGTCTCCATTGGTGAGGGGAACCCCCCTTTTCGTTTTACTAGCCCCTTGAAGTTAACACTCTCCCAGGCCCCACCACCAATCTGCTTTCTTTGTGCTCCACCCACTGCAGCGTGCAAACAGTGACCAGCACCTCCTTGCTGCCTCTCCCGTGAGCCGACGACCAGGGCCCTGGGGTTTTGTGTATGTGTCAGCATTTGGGAAGCCGCTCCAGTTATCGATCTTGCGGTCACCCCCGACACCGCCATTCCTTATTCCTTTCCCTGGAATACTCTTCCCATCTCTTCACTTTTTGGCCAAAAAGCCCCTGGGAAGCCTTCCCTGACTTGACTCCCGCCATGCGGACCTGGGGGCACCTTCCTCTTGAGTCCCTCTTGCTGGCCCCTCCACGCAGCACCGTGATCGTTAACCCTGGCGGCCGTGAGACAGTCTCTCCAGAGAGGCCTGCTTGATCGACCTGCCTGCCTCCCCCTTCAGAGCTCAACATGCAGGAGCTGTGCGGCAACAAGTTAAAATAAGTGGCTTAATTTCAGAATTACAAATTTCAAACTCTTCGAGGAATGGGACTTATCTGGGTATCTTGGATTCCCCAGGGCTGGGGTGAGGAGGCAGGTGAGTGTGTCCCGCCGGAGTCTGCCAGGCCCAGCCGGGCCCCTGCGCCCCACTCACCCCAGGGCAGTGCAGTAGAAGGGAGTGATAACGTAGGCACCGCTCTCGGCCGACGAAGAGAGCCGGCCGGCCTCGCGGGCCTCCCGGGCAGGGTCCACCAAGGTCCGCGGCATCATGTAGAGCTCCTTGGAGTGGTCGAAGTGCCCCCTGACCTTCACCGGCCTGTACTCCAGGCTTTTCAGTTCCACTGGGCTACACGGGAGAAGCGGAGCTGAGGCCGAGCAAGGTTTGGCAGCAAGAAAAACCCGCTCGAGGGTCCACGAGCCATGAAGCCCGCTGCAGCCTGCGAAGCGACGTAGGTGCCACAGAGGCACAGTGGGGACTGTCCTGCCGGGAGGCATGCACCACCCTCTAAAGGAGAAAGCTGACCTCTCTGTTGCCCTGTGGGAATGTGGAGCTGTGCTGCCAAACAGCCCAAGTTTTGAAGAAAAGCTTCCAGACGTGGACTCTGAACTGAAGGAATATGGGGGCCCAAACCGCCATCTGCAAGCCGAGTACGACCCACTTGTTGCTGCCTTGAATGGAAAGCTTTGTGACCACAGCCGTCCCTGCAGAACAGTGCTTTCATTTTTTTAGTATTTGTCTGGGGGGGAGGGTAACTAGGTTTACTTATTTAATAGAGATACTGGGGACTGAACCCAGGACCTAATGCGTGCACTCTCTGCCACTGAGCTCTCCCCTTACTCTCCCCTCAGGACAGTGCTTTTAAATAAGGGGAGAGGGCAGCAGGGTCACTCTGGGCACGTTCTCAAAGGACCACTCTCATGTGAAGACGTGCCTGCCCTCACCCAGCAGCTAAAATTACTGCTGCAGAAGACCATCAGCCCTGTGAGGGATGCCTTAGTGGGCCTGGGTCTGGGCCAAAGTTGAAGCCCAGGTTCAAGGACTTTTCTATAAACGTCAGGCAGCTTCCCGAGGGCAGTAGGGGGTCAGCAGGAAGCCCAGCAGGACCACTGATTTTGAGGGCTCCCAGCAGGGTCAGGAAGGCCAGCAAAAGCCAGGCCCCACTGCTGACCTCGAGTGAGCCCAGCCCCAGGTGGGCGGCCACACACACTCACTCTGCGGGCAGCGGGATGGGCTCAGCCAAGACTCTTGATTCGAGCTCTGCGATCAGCTTTAGCTTCCATTTCCGGCGCTGGACCTACGGAAACAGCGTGAGCCCGGGTGAGCGGCAGCAGAGTCAAGGGCTCGGAGTCAAGAGCGCAAGAGGCCAGTCTTTACCTGCCATGTCCCCAGACCAAAGGCAGTCACAGGAATGAGAAGCAGAAACCACTGGAGGAAGGAGTCGTCTTCTGTTTTTGTGGCAGTTGCTTCGGCTGAAGAGCTGCCAGACCTGCTGGGCCTCCAGGCCAAGCCTAGGAGATTTCACCACACTGGCATGGGGTCAGAAGTCCCGGAACAAGGAACTGGAACAGTCAATTCCTCAAAACTGCCACTACTGCTCGAGAGAACGTTGTATAGGAGTGCACAGGCCACAAAGTGCAGCCAGGAGTCAACCAGCAGCACCTGTGCCCAGCCCAGCTCTTAACCCAGTGCCTGAGCAAGGCACCCACTCTGTGGATGTGCACTGACAGCATGAGATCTAGGGCTTAGTCCTGGCTCTGCCACCAACCGCGACCTTGGGTAATCCATGTAACCACGTCACGCCTTTTGTACAAGAAGGCGCTGAGACGTCTGCTAACGCGCTACGACGCACAGGTATGGCTCCGTGTTATGAAGAGACAGAACGGGATACACGCAGGATAGTGGTTTACAGAGCTCTCAGGACAGCTCTTCTTTTTCATGGCTCATAAGTTTAAAGTGGGACAAATGTACACAGAAAGTACCTTACAGTTTTCAGAGGGTGATTCACACCGAGAGGCTCATGGGTCTTGCGGACCTGGAGCAGGCTTACGAAATACCTTCACGTATGCACGGCACTCTACACACAAATGCCCTCTGCGGTATCTTACAAGCTACATGCAAACTGGGTGACTAGTTACGCCTTCCTTAAGGATCCCAGGCGGCTTCCGTCGGGTTGGCCCCGCATCAGCCCTAGGAGGCGTACGCAGGGCAGTTACTGCACGCATCCGGCCGAGCGCGTCGCCCGGCGGTGCGGGAGGAGCCAGCCCGCAACCGGGACCGGATTTAGAGGCTCAGGCCGCAGTTCCAGAGCTTATCGCAAGGCCCCGGCCCCTCCGGCCACTCCGGCAAGTGGAGGGCACGGGC